TCCCAGTGTGCGGGGGTTCGGAGGACGAGAGGCATGTGGAGATGGAAGGAGACGGTGGGGTGGCCGTGTGGAATCTCGGGCACAGGCCTGGCAGGGCAGCTCCCTGTGCCCCTCCCGCTTCCGCCAGGCCCAAGTGCCGAGCCCAGATCTGCGGCGCGCAAGCTGAGAACAGCTCTTCCTAGGGATCCCATAGCTAGGAATTTCTAAAGGGACCAAAAATGAGTTCTCAGACTTGTAGCACTTGCTGAAGTGCTAAGGCTTTAGAACCCATAAACAGGAGGATATAATTAAATGCAAATGTAGGGCCACATGTAAAAATTAACCTCCTGTAATTAATTAGTAATTTAAAATATTCTAGAAAATGATACTTAAATAGCACAGAATTATCCTAATTCTGAGCCATAAAGTCATCTGCTAAAGACTTACTGGTGGAGTGAGAAATATTTGCACATGTCATGTGGGACAACAGAACACTGAGATTACTTAATTTACCTTCGCTACAAATGTCTTAAAAAGAACAGATTTTGTACTCAAATTGTGGGGAAAGCTCACTCACTGCAGCGAATTCTGAGCAGCAGCGAGTGGAAGCCAGGAGTTAATCCAGCTGTGCTTCCAGAAAGGGGGTCGACGGCCTCCAGTGCGCGCCCTGCCTGGGAAGCCAGCCTGCGCAGGGTGGGCAGGGCTGCAGGGAGTACCCTTTCCACCTCTGTCCTTCACATCCACCTACTCTTCCCAGCCTGCACGGGTGACCCACTCCCAGAGCCATGGGAGCTGTCCCAGCAGCAGGCCACTCCCCGCGTGTTCTCTCCATCCTTCTCACTCGCTACAGGCAGAGAGCGCTGGTACCTGTCTAATGCAAAGGTAAACTCCACCTGCTGCAACTAGCCCTTAAAATAGTTCACTTTTTCTATTCTTTCCAGTGAAACAAAAGAGAAGGGAGAGGAGAAGAGAAGAGAAGAGGAAATAAAGAGGATACAAAAGCAAAGAGGGAGGCGGGGGCACAGAAATGACGACCATTGAAAGGACAGAGTCCTAAAGTCCCACACATGCCCAGAGGAGGCCTCAGGGGGTGAGAGCCACTGCAAGGAAGGCCCAGAAGGACTATGGCCATGGAGTGTGGGGATCCTCAATGTCCCCCGCTAGCCCTTGATATGGTTCCCAGTCTGTCTTAGGCACCCAATTCCTATCGATTGGATGGCTAGGGGGAGAGAGGTGTGTGAACAAATGGACAGATGGGTGGGTGGGTGGATGGATGGATGGATGGATGGATGGATAAATGGGTGGATGGTGGAAGGGTGGGTGGATGGGTGGATGGAAGCTCCTCCAGGAAGATAAGATGAAGCCCAGAGCTAAAACTGACTGAACTGGAGATCTCCTCATCCAACTGGAGCTAGAGAAGAAAGAACAGAAAGACATGCATAGCCCCCAACAGCGCTGGATTGTGGTTATGGTGTGCACTGTAGGTCGTTGACCTCAAAGGCCCTGA